TGTGTTTAGAACAATATATATACTAATTTTTAAAGTATCAAATTGAATTTTTGTTCAATAAAAATCTTTCAACTGCGACTGAGGTTTTTTTTTCGACAAAACTTTGTCTTCAAAATAAGGGTGCGTCTTATATTCCGAAAAATACGGTAATTTGCCATCATGATCAGACAAAATGTATTTGACGTAAAACATGCGATGGAGTGTTACATATTTTGGCTGATAGTTTGTTCCAAATATTTCTCAAGTTAGCTAGCGAGGGAGCTATCACGTCAGCACATCGACTTCTAATTGTATACTTTGTAAACAAATGACACGTAACATAAAACATGCACCGCCAAATAAGTCGAAATCTCTTGTGCGTGTGTGTGTTTTATTGCAAAGCCACATCTGGAAATCTGCAGTGTCCACCGAGGGGGATCGAACCCCTGAGTTTAGCGTAGTAAATCAGTAGACTTACCGCTGTCCCACCGGGGGACTCAAAATCTCTTGTTTTGGAATCTATGAAACACCACAAAAATCTAAATTGTTACAAATCAAAATCTTGGAGATTGCAAATATAACTCTTAATACAACACGAATGGTTCTTCCTTACTTTTACTACCTCGACATTCAGTTTTATGTAAGAGCTCTGGGCTTGTTTAAAAACTAGAGCATTGATGGCTTTACGTGTAGCCATAAAAGAAAAATATCTTAGTTCTAAATTATCATTTACGTATTAGTCTACCTACAAAAAAAGGAGGGGGGGGGTGACGAAACAGTCCGGAATGTTGAAAACCAGAACATTCTATCTTGCCACCTGACTCATTTTCATTTTTCTTCCGAATGCGTTCTTAAGGGAATATTATTACCCATAAATTGAAGTACTTCAGGTATAGAATAAAAGTTACAAATACCTATAGAACCGTAATGACACTAGCTTTATTAGAAACGAAGAGAAGTTGGACATCAACAATGTTTCACTAGCTGAATTAACTCAGGGATTCCACAACAAGAAAGTAACAAGGTCCATTTATTGTCACCATTGAAGCCGATTTATATCTTTAACTAGACTTGTTTCGATAGAAGAGTTAGCACACATGATCACATATAAAAGTTGCAATGAATTTCATGAAAGACCCAAAAATGTAGCGCATTCGAATAGATGACTATTCTTCTTCAAGAGAATATAAGAAGAACAGCGAACTATTCAAAAGCGCTCGAGTTTTGGGTCTTTTTTAAAATCCATTTAACTAGAAGTATTTGTTACAAATCAAAATCTTGGAGATGGCAAATATAACTTAATACAACACGAGTGGTTCTTCCTTACTTTTACTACCTCGACATTCAGTTTTACGTAAAAGCTTTGGACTTGTTTAAAACCTAGAGCAACTTGATTACTAAAGCTTCTTTATATTTTTTTAACGCGGAATTTTTTTTCGTAGGGCAAAGTATCTGTAGTCACAGATATGTTAAAGTTTTGTGTTTTTGAAGACTAGTGATTAGGCTTCTTCTTCTGTTTCCCCAATGTATATTACATTACGACTTTACTGTAAGTTCGTTGATCGTATCTTTTAGTTAAGGAATTTTTCATATTACGACATAATATGAACTAAAGCAGCATTGTATTGATCTCAACACTACAATATTTAAAAAGTAGGTACCTCATTCTTTTTTTAATTGATAGAAGGACCGAAAAAAATGTGTAAAAAGCACAATGCTTTTAGAAATTAATTGATTTCATTTTATATTTTTAATGTACTAGATTCGATTAAGAAATGAATAAGATCATGTGTATTCTTTAAGGAGAGCGAGTTGTTACACGTGTAAGGGGTAGAAAATTTAATGAAATTCAGCCAAATTATAACTCAAACTGTTAAAAGCTGATGAAATTAACTATAAGAAACAATTTCTTTCCAGTGTTTTTTGAGAATTAGAATAATTCATTATTTTATGATTTTTTAAAGATTCAACTCTCCAAAACGTCTAGAGGAGTAATTTAAATATTTATGTTTCTTTGTAATGTGTCACTCTTAAATCATTAACACATTTGTGTGTGTTGTTTTTCTGCTCTTTTCTAATAAGAATCGAGTTATTATCGTTCCAAGTTTTTTATCTACAAATTAGTATCTCTAGCCTTATGTCAAAAACAAAAACTTTTAACATAAATCTAAGTTCACATGACGTATCGTAATTAACATAAGCTAAAGTAATACTGATAACTTATCAATTACATAGATTTTTAGATAGATTGCGATTTTTAATATTGCTTCACTTGTTTCAATTTCAAAGTAAAACAATAAAATGGATTTTATATTATAAATAACGTAACAAACATTAATATTTTGTGGCTCATAAAGAGGTTGAGTACGTTATATTCAAACAAATGTGGAGCCTCACCATGTTGTTAAAATTCATGTCACCATGTCCGACCATGCTCTGATTGGTTACCATGTATCTTGTGAATAGCTCCGCAGCGTAGTTTCAAAAAATTCTGTCGTAAGGTTGCCATGTTCAAAGCACATCCTTCCTCCGTGCATCCTTTTCCTAATCCACTTAGGACAATGATTTTCTTGTGCCTCTTTTAACAGTCTGATTGCACAAAAATCAAAAAGAGCTTAATCCGGTAACTTGACTGATATATCTTTTGGTGTCAAAAAATTAATACTCGTTTCATTATCCAGTTTCTTGAGAGATGCAACGGTTCAATGGATATGTCGTAGAAGCAGCTTGTGTACATCTAACATCTGTCCCTTCTCCAGATGGAGATCTTTACTGATTATGTTATGTACTGTTGCCATGGTTACTTGAACGGCTATTGCTACTGACCTTTGTTTTCGTTTATTCTTAATTAATTCTTTATTCAAAACGCCGCACTTTGCTTACCACAGTTGGGTTATAGTATGTTGCAGATCACTTCCTAGATGGTCCTTGTACCACAAGTTGATCTACATCTCATATGCTATTAAGTAAAAGAGATATCTTCGTTTTCGAAATTCTAAATCCTCGATCCAAACACAGTTTTATGATGTGAGTGTGTTAATTTTTGTTTCGGAAAGGGTATTACACACCACTCCCAAAAGCGACCACTTTTTGGTATCATCATACTACCTACAAAACACTAAAGAACTGCAGTTCTAATACATTCTATTTCACGGCGATTTTATATCGACTGTGATTGTCACGTGGTTTGCTGGTTTAATATAACTTACACGACCCTCTATAGATTTTATTTTTTGTAACACAATAATTTATTTTAAACATTATTACCAAAATATATGACGTCACACACAATCTTAAGTAACATAAGTTAAAAGACTTTGATATGTGTTCAACTTTTCCTTATTACTGACCAATCTCTCAGTTTAATTTTCCTGAAAGCCAGAAATATTTTGTTTCGTTTGATGTACATATACACATAGAGAGAGGTTATATGTATACGAAGTCGGATAAGATTTGATTATCTCACACCCCTAGCGAGCGTGCCTAGAGTACAGTCGTTCCATTAAATTATTACATTACACAGTATTTCTATTTGAAAAATTTCAACGCTATACTGATTTGCAACTAATTTTATCTAAATTTTCGTTCTCACAACGAGATTGAACAAAATACATTTTTAAATATAGTTTTATATGCATTTAAGAATTTTTAAGTGTCTGTATTGTTTAGTTTACCTTCAAGTATTTAGTGTATCCAAAGCTTGACAAATTGTAATTTTAAAGAAAATATTATTTATATAACCCGATCTATTAAGTCCAGCTGAATACACTTTACAAATATGGTGTCCAAGGCATAATTGTGACTTGCGAGCTGATAAATACAAGATGTTTAAAGCTGGGATTCACTACAGTCCAAAGTATGAAATCAATTTAACTCAGAATTTCTCAACATATAGTATGCATAGTTTTTGTTTATGCGTGTGTGTCTGTGTATTAAGAGATCACCACGAGCGTAGTAATATATATAAATCTGACTCAAGTAATTACAGAGTATACAATTTCACGAAAGAAGCAAACAGAAGGTTTAATTCAACAAAAAGAGGTAGTGCTTTCGCAGCTTAACCTCAGTTGTAAATTAAACGATTGGTACCTTCATCATTATCATTTTATGTTCATAAAATATCATCTCTTGCATAGACAAAGAAACAAATTCAAACGAAGATTCAAAACAGAAGACCTAGGTTCATTTTATTAAATAAAGGCATTAAATACTAACATCTCAATGTTGAAGTTACATATTTTAAAATGTACGGTCACATAAAAGTGAATGAAATATATTACACATATTTCTTCTAAAGCTCCACATTATCAGTGACCAAGTATCTGATGAAGAGAGCTATTGCACAAGTAGCTTATTAAAAGTTTTCTATATCTAATAAATTCTTACCTTAAGAATTGGAAGCGAAAGGTCCCAGAAAGGGTCAAAGGTCACCGAATTATATCCACATACAGTGCATTTGAGACTACTTCTTAACTGTCCAACAAACATATCTGGAAATAAAAGTATAAGAATAATAAACTACGCAGTTTAGTTTGGATTAGTTTAATCTGGAATCTTGAGGAGCCAATATAATGATTTGTTTTATCAATTTAAGTTTAAAACCAGACATTATTCATCGAACAAACATTACTGATTATTGTTAAAAAATTTCTTCACACAACGAACTAACTTGGTTACTAATTTCTATAAACATGTGTAAAACCCACTACAAAAAAAACTTTTATTTATATTATTCAGACGAAAAAGTAAAATTACCACATACCAACAACTTTACTGTCGTCATATCGTAAGTATCTCTTCCAAGCTTCCATAGATTTTTGATTTTCCCTGAAAACAATTAATGTTTTACTTATATTCTCTACTATCACTTTTATGCTGTTTATGGTATAATTTAATACATTTTCACACATTCATTAAATTAATATACCTGAAATTCGCATTATGAATAAGAACAGAATCATTCTATCACACTTCAGGTTACTGTAATGAATTCGTTTTGTTAATCCTGTTTATGGGAAGATACCAACAATCTGCGAGAATGACCACTCAGGCCAATATTCTATAAGTTTAGTTCAGGGACTAGAAAAAGAATGTAATGTTTAAATATATTTATATATATATATATGTAAATAATAGGCCTAGTATTAGGTCGTCAAGAAATTAATGTCGCGTTTCGGAACACTTTCATTACCTCCCCCCCCCAGAAAAAAAACGTACATCACGCATAATAGTT